CTCTAGAATGTTGAATACTTACAAATATACAATTGAATTACTCTCACAATGAATTCTTAAAGAGCCTCTTTATTTTGGATGAGGGTGGTATCTATAAGACTCTAGTTTTCCTTAATGTGTAGTGAATTTAATTTACATGCTACTGGTGAACTGATGCGTCCTTTGTTTAGTAAAGAAAGTAAAAGTAAACTTCATTGAAAGTTCTGAGAGTTTTGCTTCTCCTAAGGAGGAATAGATCCAAAAAGTCACATTTGGGCCATAATCATCAGTTTCAGGTATTTAATCATTGATGGAAAATAGTTATTAATTAATTGTATGATATGCTTTGGGGGAATAAAGTTCAAGAAGTGCTTAGATTCTAATTCCTCTAGAGTCAACATCAAGAGACATCATTTTCCTTGATATTTCATTTAATACATATTAAACTCATTGTACTTAGAGAATTTTATTCTAGGGCCAATGGATGATTGAGCTGCTTATTCATTCATTTACATTTGCGAGCATCTTTTCTTTGCTAAGCCTACATTTTTTACGCTCTGCAAACTGTCTCAGCATAAATCAGAAGGTCTTGCTGCACCTTTCAACAGAAGGCAGCTAAGATTCTTTTGAATTGAATTTACAGAGAAGAGTCTCAAGTTAAGAGGGCATTGTCCTTTCCTTCAGCTATAACTTACGAAGATGATTGTTAGTTCCCCAGTTTTTGTATTTCTTTTGGCTGAGGCCGGAAAATTCAAAAGTTATTCTTAATATTGACTCTGCTAGTTTATACTGTTTTGTTTTGTTTTTACAATATCAGTGAATCAGTGAAACAAATCTACACCCAAAAAGCATTGGGATCTGATATTTCACAGTGGAAAATTAAGGACATCTGTTTTTGCTATAAATACTCTTTTCTGAAAATCTAAACATAAAATTATTGGTCTAATTCATCAATATCTTGGAATAAATTTCATTATTATGTTTTAATAAAATGAGTTGTGTGGTTTTTTTCTATAGTAAAAAGAATCATAGTTTTCACATTATCAGTTAAAACCACATTGAAAAGAGACATTTTAAAGGTTGAAAGCAAGTTTATTTCAAATAACCTTCATAGGGATATAGTAGCAGAGAAAAAAGTCTCTTCAGGACATAATAATGTATTTATAAGAGTTAACAGAATCACATAGCTTGGCAACTATATGCTGATACCTAAAATATATCTAAATTTTTATATACACAGCATTTTATTTATTTAACTTAGCCATACAGTTTTAATTAGCTTCACTATCGTAGGATTAGCTTCAATACAAAAGGTACACTCCACGATGAGCTGAGTAGCAGCCTTATGTATCAGAGATTTCCAACATAAACTATAATTCATAAAGGCCAATACAACTCTTTTCTTTGTGGCTGGGTAACCATTTATGTTTGAGGTGAAGATGTTAATATGGAAATTTTGTGAGCTAGGAAAGAGAATGAACGCTATCATTCTGATTTATGACCTTTCATATAAGGCCAAACGTAAAGGCAACTTCAATTGTTTTATATCTCAGGGCCAGCACACAGCAGACATATGAAATTTGGAGTGTTAGACATAAACTTTTATTACTAAATTATAAATAATTTCTTCTACTTATAATGTTCACCTTTCAAGTTCATCTTGATTAAAATACAAGGGCAGCTTCACACAGATTTCACTGAATTTTACGGCTGAAAGTGGTTCCTGGAGTTCATGATGAAGCATAAAGCACTGGCTGGAGTAGTTGGGAATTTTTGCTCACAGGGGTTCAGGTGCTGAGCCCATCTCTTCTGAAATTTAAGTCATACTAAAATCTGAAACCAAGTGCCGATGGTGTAGAATATAGCCCTGCTTTGAATAAAAACAAAAGAGATGTGTACTGCTTTTTCTGAGAAATCTGCCCATCAGTCAATAATAGAATGCAAAATGGTGCAGCCATACTGGAAAAACCATTCCAATACATCTTCTCGAAGACATTCAACAGCTATGAAAGGTCATTCTTTCTATTTTCTTTAACAAATAATTTTCACACCTCAGATGAATAGTAGATAACAATGGCCTGAGTACCCCAAACTAAAGCAGCATGATTTTATTGTCTGACGGCCTAGGAACCATTTGGATCCAGACAGCATTTAATTCTAGTTAAAGCATTGCTTAAGCAAAACCAGAAAACTTAACACCAATGTTAGATATTAAAATCTGCTTTGGAGAGTGTTGGCCAATCTGCTTCAATGTTTATATTTATCATATCATCCACATATTCACAGGATTGAGAATTTTTTAAAAAATTAAGCCAGACATGTTATTTTCTCTTATGAACATTTAATACTTAAGGACACAGCTATTCAAGAGCTATATGTGAGACAATGAAATGACAATTTGCCTTAGTATTTTTTATACCAGTATTTGTTTATTTTCAGAATAATTGCTTTAAGAGAAGGAGAAGACAAGTCATAGTCTAGGAGAAAATATTTGCAAAAGATATATTTGGTAAAAGACTATTCCCAAATTACACAAATTCAACAGTTTAAAAAAAAAAAAAAGAAAAAGAACAACCCAATTCAAAAATGGGCCAAAGATCTGAACACATACCTCATCAAAGAAGATATGCAGATTTAGAATAAACGTATAAAACAATATTTCACATTATATGTCATCAAGGAATTATTAAAGCAACAGCAGGATACCACTACATTCCTATTGGAAAGGCAAAAAACACTGGAAACATCAAACGGTGGTGAGGAAGTGGAGACACAGGAACTCACTCACTGTTGGTAGGAATGCAAAATGGTACAGACGTGTCAGAAGACTGCTCAACAGTTTCTTAGAAAGTTACACATTCTCTTACTGCATGATCCAAAAACCATACTCCTTAATGTTGGCCTGAAAGGGCTCAAAACTTAATTTCACACAAAAACCTGCATATAGATGTTTACAGTAGCTTTACTCACTGGGAAGCAACCAGGATGCCCTCAGTATGGGAAAGAGCAAAGAAATGGGTGAATATCCCTATGGAGTATTATTCAGTGATGCAGAGAAATGAATTATCAGGCATGAAGAGACATGGTGGATTCTTAAAACTCATATTATTAAGTGAAAGAAGCTAATCTGAAAAGGCTCTGCAGTGAGTTAATACAGTGTGTGTCCTACCAGTTATGTATGGTATGATTCCAACTATATGACCTACTGGAAGTAGAAAAATCATGGAGGCAATAAAAACATTAGCAGTTGCTAAGAGCTGGTGGAGGAAGAAGTGGAGCATAGAGAATTTTTAGGACAGTGAAACCATTCTGTGTGACACCATAATAGCGGACACTTGTCATTATGCATTTGCCAAAATCCACAGAATGCACCAAAAAAATAAAAAGGTGGATCTTAATGTAAACTATGGTCTTTGGTGATAATCATGAAGTGTCAGTGTAGGTTTGTCAATTGTAACAACTAAACTATGCAAGCTAAACCAAACCTTGCCAGATTATTTTTATAATTTATAGCCTTCTTAATAAAGTAAGGTTTATGTTTATGGTTTTTTAAGGCCAGTTCTTGAACTAGTACTCAGAAAAAGTCTCACACATGCTATCTTTGTAATATAATAAAAGATCTGGGGAAAAAAACCACATGTGAAATATGGAAATATACCTCTTGAATTAGTAAAAGTTAATTGCAAACTGTTGAAGGGTTCTGGGCATGATCACTTGTTTTGTTTTGTTAGGAAACCACATTTGCTATTAGCTGGTTGGCCAAAGTCATTTGTCTAGTTGGGCTCTCACAGAGCTGTGTTCCTTGAAAAAGGTGGCATCTGCTCTGCAGATCACCCAGGCCCTGAAAACTCATCACTGTCTGCTCACATTAGGTTTAGTAATTCTCTCATGGTCATGGTCTGGCAAAGTGAAAGCAGCTATGAGTTTTAAAAAAAATCATTTTTTGAGTTATTAAAACAATCAGTGAAGAATATGGTACCATTTCATATCTTTTATGAAGAAAGAGCTTAGTGACAGGTCTTTATATCCTATGGTTGTTCGCTGTAGCTACTTCTTTGATTTAAATGACACTTAAAGTTTTTATTTACCTAACATTTTATACTGTAAGAACTTCAAACGCAGCCTTCTTAATAAATCTATTAACTATTTGGTTTTTACCAAACTGAGATTTTATGGGACAGAAGAAAGTCTCTCTTTAACAAATACACCCATTTGCTGTCTGTCCATGTCAATCAGAGGTTCATTTCTCTTGCCTTTAGCTAAGAGCCACTTAGAAGGGGAATTCACTTTTTTGTCTTAGAAAAAAGTTCCTGATCTTAGATCTCATTACACAGGATTAAGGATCTTTTCGTTTGAAGACATTACAGTGTCACTGAGTTGATAGTGTTGATATCATAAATATAATTAAAGTGTAAATTTTAAGCTAATGAGGTTTCGTGTGCAGAGAATTATTTTCTTTTTCCTCTCGAGGAATATTGAGAATTCATACAAACTTCCACACCAAGTTCTCCTAGCAGCAATTAAATAATATCTGCGTATCATTTCCAGTTTGAACTAGCTTGTAACGAATCACAATTTATACCATTATAATTTGGAGTTACTTTGATGGTTTTAATTGTACCAACACTGCATTGGGGAAAAAAAAAATCTCTCGTTAATAGTGACTTAGTCTTTACACATTTAATTAATATCAAAAGTGGATTTAAAGATTTGAGGCTGTCTTGTTCTCTTTAAATTATTTGGGCACATTTCTGGATATGCACTGTCCATTATTTTAATAGTATATTTCAGTTCCCATCACTTCGTTATTCCTTACATTTCTGTAAAAAAAAAAAAAATCTTACCGAAAGGATCACTTGCAACTTTAAGTTTCGTTTTGTTTTTGTATTTTCCTCTCTATTAAGAGAATACCAGCGTTGTCGACCTTAACCCTACTGCACCAATTTTGACACGAAACAAATCAGGATCCCTGGATTTGCGCGCTCCGGCGCGGTCCAACCTTTTCGGTCTCCGCGGGCTACCGTAGCAGAGGAAAGCACTGATTGGCTAAGGCAAAAAAGGAGCCCTGGCTTGGGCGGTTTCGGCTTTCGCTGCGAGCGTCCGCGGAGGCCGGCTTCGGGGGCCGCCTGGAGTAGGGTTCTGGGTCCAGGCCGCTAGGTGAGCCGACGGCCGCGCGGACCAAGGGCGGTGTTGCGCATAGCGTCGGGTCTGCTGCCCCAGTATTCTGTCGCGCCGAGCGGCAGCTGCAGCGGCCCGGCCCGGCCCGGGAAAAGGCCCAGCGTGCGCGGCCTGGAGCCCGGGCCTTGGCGGCCGGTTTCCGCGAAACACCACGCCGCGCCGCGCGCTTGGCGCCGCGAGTGCCCGGCTCGGCGCTGGTGAAAAACGCCTTGACTGCGCCGCGAGAAGCGGCCGGGTCCTGGACTCCTCGGGGTTGGCTGGTTGGTCCGCGCCTGGGGGTGGACGTTCCTAGGGAACCCCGTCGCTAGCCCCGGGCTTTGGCGGGAAAGCAGCCCCAAACCTAGACGCAGGCTTCGTCTGCTTCCTGGGCGTCTGCTCCTTAGGGGCGGTTGAGCCCAACTTTAGGAATTAACATCCAGGCTAGCCTTTCCTAGCGAGTTTTTGGATCGGGGAGTCTCAAGGCTATATGGTTCAGTCACCAAGGTTTTCTGTGTGTGTGTGTGTCCCCGGATTTCACTAGTTCTGTGTGCATTGTCTAACATTAAGATGTTGCAGATCAGGTTGATAGGGATTTAATGTATCTTCTCACCCGAGCCCTATGATTAATTTATGATTGCTGAAGGAAAATTGAAAATACTGAAGATTTGTGAAGAAACTTTCAGAAGCACGCACTAGCTTCTACTTTGCAAAAGACTGTACCATTTTATTTAGTTTCCCATGCCCCTTTAACAGCTCTTCCTAAATGTCATTTCTAGTTTTTGTTTCTACTTTTGGTTGACTGCCTTCATCCTTGTGTAGGTTCCATTAATTATTTAATCACTTCTCCACCTGGAAGACATTTAAAATTGTTTTGAATTTTTGCCCCGTTTTAGCATCCCAGGTAATACTTTGATGAATCTAACTATATTTTAGATTATTTCGTTGAATTAGGTTCTTAATCATTGGATTAGAGGTTCTTCTATTAAGGCCTGATGGTATGTTGACACATTACTAGATGGTTTTTACAAAATGTTTTAGTGGTTTGTATCGTTCATATATGATTGTACCTGTTTCATCAGACACTTGTAGCTAGCGCCAAATACATTTCTAACATGTAAAACTAGTAAAGCAGGGCCTCTCTTGGAATTATCATCATCATTACTGTTATTGATAGTGCTGTATGGCAATTCTCTTTGCTTGCTTCCTTGCATTTTGTACATAATTTTCAGAGGGGTGTGAGTGTGCATTCTTTGAGATTGCATAGGCTACTGAATGTTAGAGTAGAAGGAGACGTCAGTGGTCATCTAGCATAACTCCCTTATTTTGCAGATGAGAAACCTGGGGCCGTGAGAGGTGAAAGGATGAGTTACTCAAGTCACCCAACTAATTAAGTAACAGAGCTGGAATTAGAACTCAGGTTTCCTGCCTCCCAAGTGAGTACCTTGTCTGCTGCATAGGTGTTCTCTCCCTGAACTGTGACATGTCAGGTACCAGAGTTACGGAAAGATACTTATATCACCTTTTAGAATTGTACTGAGTAATAGACTTTAGTCATCTGAGGGATCTGTAACAGGGAAAAATGAGAAACTGACATTTTTCATGTTAGGACTAGAAATCCCTTCATTAGAATAGCAACCCCATCAAGATTTTGACAGTAATTTTCAGAATCTATGTTAGAATAAAATATTCCTAATAAGTTATGTAGTGGTCACTCAGTATCTGAGTAGAGTTGGTGTCAGAACCACCTGAAGGTAGTGAAATCTATGGATTCTCAAGTTCCTTAATAAATGGCATATCTGTATGTATGTGCATCCTCTCATAATTTAAATCATTTCTAATAGTGTGTTGTTTAAAGAATAATGACCAAAAAGGCTATATGTATTCAATACAGATACAACTGTGATAGATCTGCTGGAATTTTTGTTTTGTTTTAGTATTTTTGATCTCCTTTTGACTGAATCCATAAAAAGTCCATCTGTTTGGAGAGCTTACCTAATTTATATCCCATGGTCTGGTCAGAACACAGCTATTAGTTCTCATTTATTACACCTTGAAGATTTCTTTAAACAAACTCTGTGTTGTTTTAGGACCAGAGAAGAAGTTTTTTTTTTCCTTCCATTTTTTAGAATTTAGAACATTTCTCAACTTCAGTTGACATTTTGGGTCAGATAATCCTTTGTTGTGGACAGTTGCATTGTAGAATGATTAACAACATCCCTGGCCTCTGTCCACTAGATAGCAGTATCACCACTCTCCTCAATCATGACAGTCCAGAAAGTCTCCGGACATTTCCACCTGTTCCTGAGTGTGGCGCATATAAATGAGCTCTGTTAGAGATTAGGGGTTTATTGAGATGCTCAGAGGATTTGGTAAAATGTGAACTGCGGTGCTTCTTGCCTGTGTGGACTGTCAGAATCCGCTCTGTGGATTTGGGTGCCTCGTTTTTGATTGAACAATCCAGAACTGTGTCTGTTTTCCCTTCTTGTGTTACTTGGTGGTTAGTAATAGAGATAATACAAAGCTGGTAGCTGTTGGAAGTAGGAGCTTATCCTAAACTAGTTTATCCTAAACTAGTGCCCGTGCCCACAGTTGGGGTAGGCAGGAGCAGGGAGGGGAAGAGTCAGAGGTTTTTCTTGGCCCTGGCCTTGAATGATTTTCTACAGATTTGGACAGCTGGCTGATGTATGGGTGATAGCAGATGAGCACACATTTCCTGTCCCGAGGAGGTTTATGGCCTGGACATGGAGGCTGGTTGGCACACAGGAAAATGCCAGAGCAGAGAAGGGCCGTGACTGGGAATGGGGAGAGGCGCGGTGAAGGAACTTCCGTGGCCTTTGGGAAGAGGGAAGGAAATGGGCTTCCTGCTTGGGGAGGAAAAATTGGTGTGAGGCATTTAAAAGCATGCTCCTGTCTCTGCATGGAACTGTTTGGAAAGCCTTTCTCACTGTGTGAGGCCCCTTTCAGACACTCATAGACTAGTGTGGCGCTGTATTTACTTGAGTTATAATATTATGTCTTATATTTTGCTTTCCAAATTTTATTTCACCCTCAACTGTGAATACTCTAGGATGGATAAACGTTTACAAGTAAACATTGCTTAGAAATAAGGCACAGCTCAAAATCACATCAGAACCATTTCTTTCTGCTTGGCCATTAAATTTTGTAGGCTAATGTACAGTACTTTGTCACCAGGTGTTTTTCCCACAGTGCTGTGACTCTCCAACAAGAACTCTTGCTGTCCTCATGGCTATGCTGCAGACATAATGGGAATGTTGACAAATACAACAAGGATCGTTCTATGCAGCGGGCTTGGCTTTGAGCCTTAGTTCTACTTTCCGCCTCGCAGAGTGTCTCTCTGAATTGCTTATGAATCCAGCTTGGCCTGGCATATTGGTGAATGAACCTCCCCTTCCACTCCTTTTAAAAAAGTTATCTGCAGGGTTGCTAGTGTACAGATGTTCTCATACTAGACATCTCAGTGGCATCTGAAAATATACTACCTTTGCCTTAATAGCCATTTATGAAAAGAGGTCATTTAAAAATAAGGCTGCATAGGAGGCAGGGGAAGGCCAGGAGCCCTAGAGGGTGTCTGAGGCCTTAATTTTGAAGGGAAGAGTTTTACCAAGGTGACCCTGCGGAAGGGAGGTCTTTTTCCTCTTACATGTTTATGGTTCAACAGTCTTCTCTCTTGCTTCAAAAATTGTCAGAACTGCTCCTTCTGCTTTATCCAATTTAAAAGATGAAAACTTAAAATTACTTGAGCCAAGTGATGGGAAAAATTGTGGTGTCAAGACCAATTTACTTGTACAAAATGGATTTATAGGCAAGTCATTAAGTAACAGAGTACCAAGGAAGCCTAATGAAGACTAATGTAAAAGATACAGCTCTCCTGAAATGATGGATAAAATGCATTTGAGGCAACCATAGCCTTTCCAAATAAAAGTTTAAATTTTTTTTCAAAGATTTAGCAGAATGTAGATATTCTGCAGGACAAATGGGAAACTTGTGACCAGCCTTTTGTCTCATGTGGCTTAGTCTTTTGAAGAGAAAGATATGTCTTAAAAAGAAAAGAATATAAAAAGTGTAGATGGTGACAGGTTGTATCAAATGCAGCCAAATGTCAAACTAGATGCCAGAACTGAGGTGGCCTGTCTCCCTTCTGCTGGCTGAACCAGAAAGTGACCAAGCAAGTCCCTGCTTAAAACCCTCCCATCTCCAAAAGATGATGTTTCCCAAACTTGCCCATTCATAAGAGTCTTCTACAGCTGTGCAAACAGATTCCTGGGTCCTACTCCAGAACTGCTAAATAGAATCTCCAAGTGAGTCCGGTGGCTCCCAGTTTGGGAAAATGACCAGAGTCTCAAGCCCATGCCCCAGTAAGTGGGTGTGAAATGCTTCCTTCTGTACCTTTCTTCTTACCTACACAGATTTTACTTTCAAACCCAAACTCTGTCCAGTGTCTTTGGTAAGACTTCTGCCTTTTCCTGGTAGACTCCTTTTCCTTCAGATGCTTAGGTGTCAACATTTGCAGCCTTTGATCTTCCATGGCTGGGCTACAAGGTTTTCTCTGAACTGTTCTCTATGTACCTCGTAATTCTATCCTGTTACATGCAGCCATCCTAAAATTCTCTGTTTTGTGTGGCATGTTTTCCCTCCAAAGTGTCAACTCATAGAGGCCCAAAGCCATGCCTTACATCTATTGGACACTTAGTAGGTGCACCTTGGAGATCTGAAGTGTTGATTGCCTTCAGGAAGAGGTTAATGTTAATTGGAATAAAGAGGCTTAATAAAGGTGTTATCTTTGGCAGGCTTAGAAGAACATGTCTGCTTTTTTAAAAGGTGTGGAATTTAATAACATCTTTAAAGTAACAGTGTACAACAACTGATAGGCCAGTTTTGTGGAATTTTCTTCCCCATCACTAACTTTTAACTTGTTATTTTCAGATTTTTTTAGGAGTCTGCAAATTACTGATAACTAAAGTAGTTAATTCTTGCAGTTATTCCTGTGAACCAGGTTTTCACATCACAATGCGTTTTAGTAGTTTTCTTAATCCTAAGTAGACAGCTAGTCGTATCTCAATTTTGTACTATAGAAATTGGCATAATGGGATTTGGCATCTGTGACAGAAATGAGCCTAAGATTCATGCGATCAGTCTTTATCAGGCCTTCAGTAGTCTTTCTGAAAGTGTTCATCCACAAAACAGCACATGTGCAAGAGATAAATAAGATAGTTTGTGTTGAATAGGAAAATTTGTTTTTCACTAAACTCATTAAAGATACTGTATCTTTTAAAGTGTTTACTTTGTACATTTCTCTTTTGCACTCAGAAAAGCATAAATAAAATTGCTGTTTGGTCTGAGTCTTGCATGGATAGTAGTTGTAATTTTAGTTATTGAGACTATGGAGCTAAAAAAAAGTATGCCAGCAATTCAGTGGAAAAGCCAAATTAAAATTTACTGAGTAAAATAAGCAGTTGATCATATTTTTAAAATCCTTCAAACTGGGGTGGGGGGTGGGCTGTCCAAGTGACAGTTTCTCAAATTAGTATTTTTTTTAAACTCATAGATAGGGAGTTCCTTGTTAAAAAAAGAAAGTTACTTAATTACTTATGCCCCCTAAGATTTTAAATAATTCTTCTAGACTCTCAGTTCCTAAGGTCAAACAAAGCTTTTGTGTATGAGGTTTTTGAGTTTTGCTGCATAGTGTGTACATGCACATATTTGTTGAAAAGTAGAAAAAGTAGGGTAGGTATTTCAGCTTCCTCAAACTACTACTGACCTGCACAAGTTGGCTTTGATTGAGAACATCTTCAAACCTAAACCTCAGTTCAGATCAGTGGGTAGAAATACTTAAAGTGACATAAGCAGTGATACTTACGGAAGAATGTTTAATGAGTTTTTTGATTGAAAATAAACACACCAATTTGAGTTCTTGGAGAGAGTCCTTAAAATAATGTGTCTGTACTATTTTTTAGTTTGATATGTGGCTACTAAATGTTATAGGTATTGAGTCTGAAAAATCTGATCTCTATTTACTCTCAATTTTTGCTAAAGTAATTAGTTTTTAATTTGTTTACCAAAACATTTTAGAGATAATAGCTCTTGTATAATAAAATATTTTTAAGGAGTAGAACCAACTTGTGATCAACTTGGGTGTGTGATGCTATTTCTCTGTGTCAGGCTCCTTTATTCTTGAATTTTAAGACTTTATCATTTAGAGTACCTATCTTAACCTAAGTCTTTGGTACAGTAGCAGCTTTGAGAAGGCTATTTGAAGGCTGTGTCCACTTAGTAGCTGTGCAACTTTCGGCAGGATATTTAACTTTCTGTGTCTGTTTTATTCATTTGTAAAATGATGGTAAGGGGATAATGAGGTACAAATGGATTAGAAATGTATAATCATTGTTCATAAGTTTGTCTACATTTTGTAATGTACAGAACTAATGTGAACTCAACTGTTCCACCACTTTTTGGTTTCATTATATTTGAGGGCAAATTGTGTTTTGTTTCTGTGCCTTTATTTTCATCAGCAAAATGGGAATGGATATTCAGCCCTCCTAGGGTCTCTGTAAGATCAAATGTGACAGTATTGACGGAGACCTTCCTAGGGTCCTCACATACAGTGAGTGCTCGTTAGCCAGTGGAGATGGCAGTGGTTGCAGTGGATGGGCTGACCGTGTGTGAACCTTAGTGACAAGTGAGGAGCGCTGCTGCTCTGTGAGTGCAGGGCTCTCCCATGAGGCTGTGCCTTGGGGATTGTGGGGCCGGAATGAGATCGTACTGGTGAAGTGCTTAGCTTAGTACCTGCCTCACGGGAAACACAATGATGTGGCAGCTGTCAGGGAGTAGTAGTGGACTAATAATAATAGCCCTTTGATAGTTTCCTGTAAATAAAGTAAGGGCTTCAGAGTTTTTGTTGAATAATTAACTTGTGTCTACATTTATTGCCCTCTTTCATATTTCTGATCAGGATTGTTAAAATGAGTCTGCGGAAGCAAACTCCTAGTGACTTCTTAAAGCAAATCATCGGAAGGCCAGTTGTGGTCAAATTAAATTCTGGAGTGGATTATCGAGGTAATATTTTCAAGTTTTATCCTCAGTGGTGTAACTAAATAAATAAATATAACTTAGTGATTTTCTTTAACCTTGTGAATGTACCCAATAAACCAAAAGGTATTGATCATTGTTTTCATATCCATTTTTTTTCTATCTTTAAGGTAATTCCTTCTAGAGGAAAAAAAATGCTGACAGCAGTTTGTCCTTCTGACTTCCAGTATTATTTGTGTGAATTCTGTCTCCTGTGTGTGTTTGAGATTTTATGTACCCAAATGCCCCGGGAATAGCCAGAGATCCTGGTCATCTCAGTATAAGGAACTGAATGTTGACGAACACCTTGGCCAGCAGCATTTGTTTTTACAGCCGCACTGAGATTAGCAGGCAGCTATTTAAACAGTATCAGTTGACTGTATGAACTCAACAACTCATGTAATGTGGGTATCTAAAGATGCCTTTCTGTTCTTGTAGAAAATACTGTTTAAGAGCCTCTGACATTAAATTTGAGGAAGGAGTGGCATCATATTCCATTTTTTAAGAGTTACTAAATCCTTACTCTTCCAAAATTAAGATTCTTAAATTACTGGGAATATCTCACAGGTATAGAGTTTTGTGACTTTGTGACCTTTTTTTGGTCTCTTTTCAGAATAATTAATTATATAGTCTCCTGATCTTTTTTCCTCTTTCCACACATGCAGACTTAATTTTACTGAGAGCTTACAGTGTATCCAGGGTGTGTTACACACTGCAAATTTATTTTCATTTTATCTTCACATGAATGCTGTGAGGTCTGTTGATGCCTAGTAAGAGAAGAGCTAGTATTCAGCCTCATTCTTGTCTCACACCGTATGAGAAATCACCATGCTTTACTGCTTTAGTTTTCTGACATTAATAACATCACCCATTTAATTTGGCTTTTATGTTAGAACAAATGAGTTTGTACTGAATACTGAGGTAAAGTCTTGTGTATTGCTTCTTACCTGTGAACTTAGATGAGCTCTAGGGAAGTCCAGATTTTAGTGTATTTGACAATGGTGGCATTGTGTTTACGATCTTCTCAGTACCTAGCTTATGAAGAGATCAGCTATCTTAACCTTTTTTTGGTCTGAATTCTTTAGATAAAAATATTTCTTTTTATAAAAGTAATACATGTTTTAGTTTTTATTTTTAGAAATTCAAGAGCAAATAATGGAGAAATATAGAAAAAAAACCCCAAAATCTCTCCATTCTACCATCTAGAGATAATCTTCCTTATCACTTAAGACTTCTCTGTATACACTTAATTTTACTTAAATGGAATCAGCTATACTTGCAATCTGGTTTCATATTTTATTACACTCAATACATTTAGTTCTGTGGCAATATAGGTATCAGTGGCTATACAGTAATCTCTAATATGGCTGTGTTACAGTTTTGTTTTTAATCCATCTCCTTTTAATGTGTACTTAGATGTTTATCTTTTTTTTATTGTTGTTATTAAAAACAACCCTGGTTTTTTACCATAGATCTTGAGCACTTGCCCAAGGATGTCTTTAGAATGAAACCCCAGGGCCCGGATTCCTGTGTGACAAGTGGCCTCTGTCTGGTTTTGGATTTATTGACTTATTGTCTGTTCTTAACCAGCGCTTACTTGGCTTGTGCTTACTGTTCCCAATCTAATTGGCAGAAAGTGATAGCGCTTTATTTGTATTTTCTTTGTTCACCAGTGAGGCTGAACACACTCTCACATGCATAGTAACCATATTTTTTTTCTTTCATGTGTTCATAGTTTCTATACTGTTTGACCAAAATGGTTTACATTATCTACAGAGCCTTACTAAATAAAAGAATAGTGTGTTTAGCTTGTGGTTAAATAATCTTTTTAAGAAACAAATGTCTCCATAGCAGTTTCTCTGTAACTTTGAAAAAAAGTGTCTAGTGTTCTGGTTTTTTAGAGTAGTTTTTATCTAGAAAGGAAGAATTATAACTAACCTTGGGCAGGTAGAGTTTTTTTTAAGCCTTTGATATAAGAATAAATATTTGCAAATAAATAAAAAGAATAAATATTTTCACTAAAATGAATGTATTTTTAAATACTTCTCCTAATTATTCTATTTTCATGGGTATTTGTGTATCGTGTTTAAAGTTTCTTGATTATATAAATAAGATTGTGGTTTCAGTATAAAATACCACGGCAGGAAGGAAACGGTAAAGTTACATCTGAAGCTTTTTTTATTCTTGTAGTTCACGGTCCATTCTGGTTCTTTGGGAGTTTACTGCTTCTCACAGCATTTCGTTAGGTTAATGTCTTGTGCTCTCCATACACAAACACAATTTTGAAAAGAAACTTTTTTTTTGTAGAGGATAATGGGGGCAGAGGCAGAGAGTGAGAAGCATATTAATGAAGTTAAGACTTTAAATGAAACTATGGACTCAGTAATTGAATTGAATCTATTATATTTTTTACTTCTTTTGTTTCCCCCAGAAAATAACACTTAACTGAGAGTTAGAGGCTTACAGATTTTTCTCTTTTGGAAAGAAAAAAATCATCTGGTCAAATTTTGAAAAATTTCTACCATCTTAACACAATTAATTTTGATTCACTCAAAAATGTTTCCTTGAGAGCTCCCCAGATTGTTTTTGCTGTTTTCTCCATTAGTTTTGATTTGAAGATACTCTGCTGTAACAAAACAGAACGGGGTGTGTTACAATGCAATATGTTGCCCTGTGTTCTCAAGCTGCTCGTCACTGTGAGTCACAGCTTTGAGATGTTCTTTCAGGAGCACCTGCTGTCTCCTCTTCTATTATTTTAACAGATTGTGGAGACTTCCTCTTAACCCTGCAGTCCATTCATCTGCTGCAGGAGATGTTGTGAAAGAGTGGAATAAATCTGCCAGGCCGGTGTTTCACTTGGTGGCTACAGTAAGAAATGCTGCTGGAAGCGAGGATCGTTTTTCGTACATAATTGCCCGCTCCTGCTTTAACGTCCAGAGGGTTACATTTCATGTGGAATATTCTCGTTCTGTTACTCTTGTGAAGGTGTTGAAAGTTTCTGTGGTGCTCCTACATACCAAGAGGGGGAAGTGACAGTTGGTTGCCTGTCCTGTTGTAGTGGATGCGTGCCTGCTTCATATTATGCATTTTCTAGCCTGCCTTCAGATTGGCACAGAGTAAAGACTCATTTTGTGTTTAAGTCTATTGGGTTTTGTTTCCAGTGTGAATTTTTATGTTACGCATAAATAAAGAGATTGTCAGTTCTGAGATACACCCTGTAATTTTCAACTCCTATTTACTTTGTGTATCATTTTGACTACGTTTGTCTCCAGGGGTCCTGGCTTGCCTGGATGGCTATATGAATATAGCCCTGGAGCAGACAGAAGAGTATGTAAACGGACAACTCAAGAATAAGTATGGGGATGCGTTTATCCGAGGAAACAATGGTAATATTTCTTCACTATATAATTGTACAGTATTCAGAGTAAGCCTTTTGTTTGTTTTTGTAGTCAGAAACACTTGGAGAGGTTTCTAGATAACTTAAAAGTTCAGTTTTAGTTTAGTTTTGTTTTATAAGTGCTTATATCTCACAACTTCAATGTAATCATTCTTTTTTAGATGGAAGATACAATTTTCCATGGAACTAGAAATTCTCTTTCTTTCCTTTTACTGATGAAGAATTGAGAAACTTTGGTGTGCTGACCTAGAACTCTGTTCATTTAAATGTCATTTATTTAAATGTCATCTATTTAAATGTTGTTGATTTAAATGTTGTTTATCTCCTCAACACATATTCTCTCCCCTCAGGGTTTAGAAATTCAGGAGTAAGAATGGACATTACCTTCCTGCTGTCTTTAATGGACATAATTTGGCCCTTATTTTGTTTGTCCTTGTTTCTGTTAAATATTCAGATACTTTTAGTTGAGCTTGTGTATTTTAGTTTGGCAAAAATGGCAAAATAGATATAGTTTTGAAGTTATGCAGCCTTTTAACAGTTGACACATTACTGTTATGCTTATTTCTAAATCACCTCATTGAAAACAAATTATCAATAAAATCATTTTTAAATTTTTGGCAGTAAAGAGTGGATATCAAAATTATAGGAATTATCTATTGATTCCATTCCCTCACCCCCAGAGCTCTGGAATTCTTGAATTCAGATATTTTATTGATTTCTTTAATTCTGAGTAAGAGAATCTTCAGTCCATTAACATTAACTCTTTGGTATCAACTAAATATTTGTACTATATTTATATCATGCTTTTATTTACATCTTTTGCTTGTATTTAAATCCTTCCCAACAGATAAAATATCTTCCTCTATTTTTCTATTGTTATTTTTATTTTTAATTTTAATTTTAATTTTTTCCATTGTTCTTATTTGACTTCCTCTTTTTTTTCTTTTTCTTTTTTGTCTTTTTCCTTTTTATCGGTACTGGGGATTGAACTCACGACTGCCTGCTTGCAAGGCAGGGCTTATGCCGCTGAGCTAAATCCCCAGCCCCTTGACTTCCTCTTTTTAATAAGAAATGCTACCATCTTGCCTTATCGCAAGATGGTGCTAGCGCCTGTCCATGATAGGTGACGGGTCTCCCTTTCACATGCACAGTATACTAGGACTTGGAAGTCTCCCTGAGGTGTTTTTCCTGCTATTGTGATGATTTTTCCACATAGTAACCCATAGACTCCCAATTCACCTATTCGGTACTTAAAGGAGATCCTACCTCTGTGCAGGGTTTTTTTGACCAAGGCATCTCTTAATGTTCACTTTGAACAGATGTGAGAATCTGAGCTTGCCTGGGGCTGGGAGAGGAGTTTCATTCCTGGTGAAAGCTTAACGAGTGATCTGATCATCTAATTTCATCTTACTCTCGTGTACTTGTCCTACTGAGTTCAATTTGATGGTTATGTAAAGCTTTGGGTGACAACAAAATGTGAGACTCCAAACAGAGAACTCAAAATAAGAACTTTGGTATCTCTTGAAAAATATTCCTCAATTATTGTTTATCTTATTAAAATTTTAAAGGTAAGCAGCAAATTCAGAGTTTATATTGGGGAGAGAGAGAGAAACGTACTATTGATTCTTAACAATGTATCTTAAGTATAAAAGAATTCTTAGATTCCAGGGACTTACGCTTTTATTTTGTTTCATATCCATTCCTGGATATAATTTATGAAGGCAATGGGATGTATATGTAAGTTTAGACACAGTACTATGACGTCAAACTCAGGTCTAGATTCGTTAGGCTAGTCTCGTAGTGGTCCCAGAGTTAATTGCGTAGTATAAGAATTCCTTGTAAATTTGTGGAGCTGCCAGGTCAAAATCCATTTGCTTTTAAAACTTGCTACTATTATCTCTGATTCTTAAGAGCAGTTGTTAAAATTGTGTGTTTTTTGTCTTTTCAGTATTGTACATAAGTACACAGAAGAGAAGGATGTGAAGACACAAGGAAGCAGTTCTTTTCACACTTGGAGTATATTTTTATGAAATATTTTCTATTTTTTGGTTCATTTGTGATGTAATATAAGTTTGTGATATCTTGCCTTCACAGTAGTTGCCTTCTCAGTAGTTCACTGACATGTAAGTAAAGTGAATGTGTAAAATTATGGATTGAATTATAAAAAGTTTTTTACATTTAAGTTTCAGTCATTTTCTTTTACTTCTGTGTCAGTATACAAAATTCTAAAAGAATAAAAAAAAAAAAACAAAAAACCAAAATCCATTTCTTCCTGCAAGATTGTTTAACTTGAGGTTCAAGCAGTGTCATTTCATTTGATTTGCTTTCCTTCTTCAGCTGACTAAAAGGGTGCGTTCGTGGACCTACTACTGAAGCATTCTAGAGGTGCCCCTTTACCCCGTCCCCGTTCCCCATCTAGGACCCACGCAGAAAGCTGGGGAAAAGTTCTGTGAAGACATCCAGTTTCAGTCTGAGGCTATAACTCGGGGCCCCCAGGTGGAAAGATCAGCGGCTGATTCAGCCACCTAGATAGAAAATAGAATTGGGAACCCAGCAGTGGCAGTGGGAGTCTCTGTTGGCAAAATTTTGAAGATTAACCAATGTGCCTGTTAGGTGAAAATTTTCCTGTGAGCCGTCACCTGACAACTCCTGGGACATTAGACTTTGCAAGTCTCTTTGCTACCCTTCAGGAGAGCTGGCATCAGCATTAATCCCTGTGTGCACAGGAGGAGCCATTCCTGTGGGTCTCTGGCCGTCGTTTCTATTAAAGCAGAGCTCAAGTTTATACCCTCATCAGATTTCTCAGCTGTGCTTGGGAAAGTGTTTCTCCTAACTCTTGCCTCGCAGGTGACTTTGGAGAAGCTTTCTGTAAAATCAGAGCTGTGTTCAAATGTGACTTTGTCCAGCCCATGTTGTTGCTAGGCACAAGGCAGCTCCTCCACATGACGTGACTCCTGCAGAGAGCGTTTGCACAGTTTAGTCATGAGCTTTTCACCACCCTGCTTTATGCTGTGCGGTTTTAAGCCATCTCTAGGAGCAGGAAATGGACCTGAAGGGACACCAGACAGTGGCATGAGTGCTGTGCTGGCGAGCTCTACCCTGCCCGGTCTAACAGAATCCCTGTTTGAGGAGCTGGGGGTGTGATTTAAAGTAATTGCCCCATTGAAGGATCTGGGAGCAGGAGGGGCTGGAGGAGTGCTGCTGGTTCTGGAGAGGTGTGTGTGGCATTTGTCTTGTTTTATTCTAAAGATCAGACAGTAATTGGGAAAAATTATTTTTTTAATAACGGGTGAGGTGAAGGGAAACATTTCACAAGGCTTCACTGTGTGCACATTACAAATAAAACAGTGCTATGCTTCAGTAATTTATCACTTCTTGACAAGGGCTTGAGAAGGGTCTAGTGTGTAAGTGCAAATCACCAATTTGCTCTTTTATGAATGACTTCTTCAGAGGAGAAATGGATGTCCCTCCAGGTGGAGTGCACGCTCATCTGTTTAGTGGAGTGTGAGGCTGCCCGCTGCAGCATCCCTTCATTCACCCACGCGGCGGCCATCGTCTCTCCTGCGCTAGCACCTGTTTCTGCTAATTTCTCCCCTGACCTGCCTGACAGCACATAAGTCTTTATTTTCCCCTTGCCATCTCTCCAGTTTAATAGCTCCACAGTTGAGTAGTGTTTTCTTCCATGGAACTACTTTTGATCAAGATTGACTTTGGGAAATGCTATCATTTTTATGGTAATAAAGGACTGTATTATGCACGTGGACCAGTACAAGTTGTCCCCTGTGTGTGCCTTCACGTAGTAGAACCATGAAACAGAGTGTAAGTGGTAAAATTACTTTTTTCCTAACTGTGGTTTTCTAGAGGTCAGCAAATGATTTCCAGTTGCAATGTAGCAAAGACATTTGTTCTAGATTGAAGAATTTTTCACTTGAGCAAATACATTCTCACTGACTCTGCCCCCAAGCCCTAGCTGCCTCGCTCTTTCTTTTGGGCTGTGACAAAACAGAATGTTTAGCGGGAAACAAAATTGTGCTTGATTTGTAGACTATCTGACTTCACATTCTGTTTTGGTCTTTGAGCTATTCCTTGGCTAATCTTCCAACAAGTTGAATTGATTCTTACTTCAAAACTGTTTATCCCAAAACAGAGCTGTTGACAAGTACAAATACAGATGGCAGACATGTGGTCTGATTTTTATGTTCTCAGCATTCAGAGAGAGAATCTTACTTAGAAATGGTTTACATCTTGAGTCTCTTGTTGAAGGCAATATGTAATGCATGCTGGCAGTTCCTCATGTGGCAAGTGGTTAAGGGATTTCTCTAACCTTCGACTTGGTGTGTAAGGTTTATCACCCTAAAGCCTATAATTAGTTCATGAGAACAGAAGATTAGCAAGATGCTTACTTCAAGAAATACAAAGTAAAGGCTGGAGATGTGGCTCAGTGTGAAGGCCCTGAGTGCGGTCCCTGTACCAGATACGCGCGCGCACACACACACATACTCAAAGGAGTTCTCTAATGCGAAATTGGATAATCACACTAGCATTCCTGGAGGAAGGTCCGTTTCATCATTGCATGGACATGTCCATCTTCACATGAACCTCTGTTCTCAATGGATAATTTAGGATTTTAACTCACTTTTGTATTCAGTGGCAGATCCTATCCTATACTGTGACCTTGCTAGCCTAACTGCATTAACTATTTGTTATTTTCCCTCCTAAATAGAAATGATGAGCCCAAGACAAACAGCAGATCTTGTGTTGGGAGGCTGTTCGGCAGCAAGCCTCTGACTGCCTTTAGTACAGTTGTCCCTGATCACTATGGAGCCAGAGCCCTCTGAGTTATGGGGTTGGTGTCCAGCAATTACTTTAGTTCTGATAGCTGCTGCCTACCAGAAGAGTTAGGGTGCGTGGCCGTGTAACCAAGTGTCTGTCAATGCCTGATCCGCTTTACTCACCGTTAGGGCTCAGGTATCCAAAGAAGCAAGAGCAAGACGCAGTAGACAGTGATGAGTGCTGTGTAGGACACAGCAATGGAGGTCGCCCAGGGGATCCTGCTCAGCTCCTCTTTGCCTGTTTCCTCAGAAGGTCAAGGAGGTGCCCAGGAGTAGAGATGTGAGAAGGCGGGGTGGTAGACATCAGTCGAGCTGTGGGCTGTGTCTTGTGGAGGATGTAGAGTAATTAAGACATTGTACCTTCCTTCAACAATGAGGAATCAATTGTAAGATTTGGGGGGGAAGTGGTGCCATGCCTTATTTAAATCTGGCCCAATGGTGAGACTTGTGTTTAAAATCTAGGCCTTTCATGAGTCTAAGAATCTCACCTGTATGTATGTTGAAGTTCCAGAGAAACACAACTGGATAACTTTTGAAATCCAATTTCATTTATTTTCTGCTTCTCCACAGACCCAATGTAGTTCAGTGTCCCATCTTTATACTCCCATTTTTTTCTCTCTCTGCCTTGCAAAGCTGGAAGGCAGAGTCATCTGCAGTACTGAAGGATTTTCTTAATAATTTGAGAGTTATAGAAGACAGACATAGCAGGTGAACATATTCTAGAGCTAAGTTAAATCATAAAACACTGGAATAGTTGGAATAAACTTTGTACCAAAGTGTTCATGTCTATGAACTGTATTAATTGCAAGCTTTATGCTGGAATAAATGTTGGATGGGAAAAAATATTCCTACTACTGGGTTAAAGGAAAGGCCAGTTTGTGAAAAGTTTACATTAAAAATAATTTTAGATGTAACTTTTTTACCATCATATGCATACAATATTCCAAGTCACTGTTCAGTATTTATATCAAATAGAGGTCTCACTGAACTTGCAACAATGAAAAAAATTTAAAAAGTTGTAATATGTACAGTGAATAGTTGTTGCTAGGACATAGAACATTTTCTTCCCCGAGTGGTATAGGTATATCACACACAATCTCCACATCTCAGTGGCATGGTGCTCATGTCACAGTGGTCCCCTGAGGCCAGGCTTAGGGCAGTCCCTGATGTTTCACTGTCCAGCATGGTACTCTGGCCTTGCTGCCACAGCAGAGGGGCATAAGAACTCACTCCCTGGCCCTTCCCTGCTTTTGCTTACAAATGGCACCTGTCACTTCAATTGTATTAGGCAAAGCAAATTATGTGACCTGAAAACTGAGTTTTCAGCAAGGTATAATCCTTTTAGGGACTCAGATATTGGTGAATATTGATAATGCATACATATGTGTATTAACTGTGCTTTGGAGGAACAGCTGACAAGGTGTAGATAGGGAGGGTTAGGTCCTAAGGAAGTGACTCTCATAACTGAAAGCTTGGCAAGTCCAACATCTGCAGGATAGGCCTGCTAGCTGGAAGGATTTGAATCTGTACGAGATGTATGAGAAGAATGCTGTCTTCCACCACGGAGGTCATGTTTTCCCGTTCCAGTCCCTAGTTTACTGGATGAGGTCTACCCACAAGATTCATTCCAAGTCTATGTAGAGAGTAATATGCAACTAAATATCTAGGCACTGTGCCTAACCAAGTGGACACTCAAAATCAGCCTTCATGATCACCATACCCTTTGTATTGTATGTGTTCTCAATCCTCCATAAAGCACATAGAAACATCAGATCTCAAAACAGATAGTTATTACATTGAAAACTGAATCCTTTCTCTTAAGATAAACAACAGAAGCATGCTCTAAGCAAAATGTAGTTCAGAGGCACAGGATATATTGTATGCAGAGCATCCCTTTGGTACATTGGGGTTATATGGCCTGCATTTCAACACATTGGAGACCACTGACAAGTATCTGTATCTTGAGAAAGTCAGTGTGTTCCGGTCCTGCTCAGGATGTGCCATCAGTGGGACCTGATCTTCCAGTTTGCTTTTTCGCTTCCTCTAATCCTGCTACCTTGGGCCCAGCCTGCCTCATGCCCTTTCCTCTGGCACCAGTGCAGATGCAGGGATTGCGAGCCATTTCCCCACAATGGAGTGCAGCAGAGGAGCCACTTGGGATCAACCCCCCACCGCCCGAATTTCATTAAGTAACTCAGCGAATCTGTGCACTTTCCCCTCATGCTATGGAACAAGGTCCTCTTTTTCCAGATGAGGAAACCTGAGGCAAAGAGGTTAAGTGACTTGGCCTGTGTCAGCTGGGAAGTCTCTGCAGCTAGAATAACCACTCTGCTATTTGATCAAGTGCTTA